CTGCAAAGCTGATTTCTCTTGCAAAACCAAAGCTTTGACAGGACCTAAGTTTGTTTCAGCATGCCAGTGCCTTTGTCAATGCTCCTGCTTAGGTGGAAGCCCTGTACGGCATCCCTGCAGTGTTACTGTCTGGACAGAAAGATGCTGCTTAATACAAAGAGGGGAAAAAGCAGGTGTCTAGTAAGAGAGGGGTGTATTTAAAGAACCAGCATAGCCCTAGGAACATAGGGGTATATTACAGTGTCGGCAACATCTTGTCACATAAAAATGACCTTGAGGAGAGGGGAGACATCCAGAAGCCAAATCATGATTTTATAATAAAGCTGCTGTACATGCAAGAATACTGGAATCCTCAAGCTGATCTAAACCAAGATCTTTCTAAAAGCTTTCAAAATAAACCTATCCCAAATTTGCTTGAAATTAAACATGGCAATAGCCCAGAGAAACAAAACTAAGAGGAATAAGGGATGGAATCCAATCCTTTGTGGCAGCATATATGCATCAGACAGCTCATCAGAAATCTCTTCCCCACCATAAACACAGTGTCATACCTGTCCCATGAAGCCAAATGTGGTGGTGCTCACTACAATTCCAGTGCTCTGGGAGACTGAGGAAGGAGGATGGCAAGTTTAAGTCCAACCCAGGCAACTGAGCCAGGCTCTAAATAAAAATGTTTAAAGGGCTAGGGACAAATGGGGACATAGCTCAGGGCAAAGCCCATAGCTTCAATCCTAGTTCTACCAAAAAAAGTGTCTCTATAACGATGCCCCTTTTATATATGTGCTTTGTTCCATTTTAATTCCTAGTTACTTACAGACAATATTATAGATAACAATATAATAAATGTGATTGATTTAAAATCAGTATCTATATTAAAAAATTATGACTAGGCTGGGTGCTTCATTTTGAGATCAATACATTTTGTGGTGTGTATATAATAGGTATTATGTACTTATAAATCATAGTGATAAATGAATATAAATACATAAACCAGCCTTAAAGAAAACTATTGATTAAATTATTTGGACAATATATTCCAATTTGCTGGAAATACATTTCCTATTTACTGTACTAGATAAATCACCTGACTAATAAGTTTTCAAACTTTACACGTCAATATCTACAGATGTCTCCCCTTTGAATTATATTATACCACTTGGTACTTTTTCACAGCCTAAATTTCTTGAATGTTGAAAACAAATTATGCAATGTTATTTCCTAACCCAACTGGACAGTGCAAATGGCAAAGCATAAACTGTGCAGTCTTTACAAAGTTCCTTATGAGCAATAGTTTCATCATCTTTAATGACTAAATGATAAATACTGTATTAGTCATTAATAATGCATTGCAAATTACTTCAAAACCCACTGATTTTAAACAAAAATCATTTATTCTTTCATGGATTCTATAGGCCAGGAGTCCATGAAGAGCTTGGCTGGCTCTTCTGGCTCCAAGTCTCTTAGGGGGCTGCAGCCCTCTACTTCTGGGCTCCCTCCCATTGCAGGTAGACCTTGGTGGTCCTGTACCAGTAACCCAGGTCACAGGGCTGCCTCCCAACATGGCACAGTCAAGGAACAAGAGAAACCTATCTGAGAGTAACATCCATCATTTGACTCAGCATATCTATCTCCCACTGCTGGGGCAGAACACTGGGTAGGGGGTTGTGTGGTCACTTTCTTAATGTCTTTCTCCCACCAGGACAAAGACTGATTAAGCAACACACTGTGAAGGGCATCTGTTCTACTATATTTCTTTATTGAACAGCAGTGTTTTTCCTAGAGAACACTCAGGAAGTATTTCTCAAAAGCCCACAATTTCCATTCTCTCACAATCAAAGAAGAGCCAGACATAGTAATGCATATCTGTAATTCTAGCATTTTGGAAAGCTGAGGCAGGAGGATCACAAATTTGAACCCAGCCTGGACCACTTAGTGAGACTCTGTCTCAGAATAATAAGTAAAAAAGAGCCGGGGATTTAGCTTAGTGCTTCCAGGGCCTGCCTCGCAAGCGCAAGGTCCCGAATTCAATCCCCGGTACCAAAAAAAAAGTAAAAAAGGGCTGGGGGGATCATCAGTGTGAAAGTTCTGGTTTCAATTTCCAGTACCTCCAAAACCAAACAAACAAAAAAAGGAGGTGAACAGAACATGTTATCTATGTTAGGAAATAACAAAGGAGAGTAGGGAGAGAATAATACTAAACATTTCTTTTGGAAAGCTAATCACATGGAAAAAACATAGTATCTGCCAACTACAATGACAAAGAAAGGGACACATCAATTTTTTTAATTTACTTTCTAAAGTGTGTTGTAATTTTGCAATAAAAAAGAAAACAGTATTTAATAAGAGTTGGACCTTGTATTTTGCATTGAATGAGAGTCCTGATAAAGGGCTTAAGACACAAGTGAAAATTTTTTAGTGTCTGGATGCTTTCTCTGCTATATACACAAAACATCTACATAAGTACTTCTCACAGCTTATCAGATGTTATACAAATAGTGAAATATCAGTGATAAAAGAAATAATATGTAAAAATATTTTAAGACTTGGTCACATGATGAAAATCTGAAGATATCAGCATAGCAGCAACATTATGAACAGACAAACAGCTACCATTTATTGAGAACCAATGATATACTATGTAATTTAATATGATATTTCTTACAATGATTGCAAGAACCCTGACTTTGACTATTATCTTCATTTGACAAATCAGAAAACCAGGGGCTAGAGAGACAAAGGAACCAACTCTCCCATGCACATGAATCACTTGGTGGTGGCCAAGTCTGCAAGTTGTGCAACTCGCTGCCTTTCCTAATGGCGAGCTACCTCTACTGTCAAGGGCCAGAGCTGCACAGCTCCTACCCAGTTCTCCTCTGCGGGGCACAGCTGTGCTCAGTGAGAATTAATCAGCCTATAGCAGAACAGGATAAGGAGAACAGAAGGAAAAAAGAACCACTACCCAGGGCCGGGGATTTAGCTCAGTGGTTCTGCCGCCTGCCACACAAGCACAAGGTCCTGAGTTCGATCCCTGGTACCAAAAAA